TTAAAGATGTTTGTAAATATGAACAATAACAAGCCTTGTAGCTCTCTGGGTATCAGGAGTTGGAGTGAAATAATCCAAGTTAACAGCAAATTCCCTGTGATATATTAGGTCAAGGATCATACTTATTTTCTACTTAAGTGTTTGCACATATGAGGTTAGATATGGTGAAGGTGGCACCAGGAATGGCTTTGCTGCTTTAATGACACCAAAATGAATGGTGGTTAAAAGGTGCTGGGAATCCTGTAGCTTCAAATGGGAGCTAAGGGCTACAATGACAGTTCAGAAGACAGTCTAGAAATAATTTTTAGCTATTTCTCTAAGAAGATGGATGCCTTGACGTAGCAAAATATTTTCTCTAAAGGATGGCCAGGTTGTTGTTGCATTTGGAGTTTGCACAATCTAAGTAGAGGTGTGTGAAAATTAGAGGTGATGTCCCTTTGTGGTCAGAGGAAGGGGCAAGAAAATAGCTGGGGTGCTCCTGTGCCTGCATTACAGTTGTTTGCCTTTCTCCATCCACGGTAGGAGAAAATTGAACTAATCTATATCAAAGCTTTTTCAATATTTAAGTTATCCAGCAAAGTGTATCCAGCATGGTGACTATTGCAAAGCTTTGTGAGGGACTTGTGGGTTCTGTCCTTAACCTCCTGTTAAGAGACAGAAGTGGAGGGAATGACAAATGTATTGCCTGTAAATAGTGTAAAATAATGAGTGGGAGGAGCGGGGAGTTGCAGAGAATTGGCTGAAGTCTCCAGGGTTTTGTCTTTCCCTTCCCCCTTGCACCTGGGTGGATCAATAGAAAGGGAGAGCAGTTGTGTAATGGCTTTTTTGCCTGTCGCTGTGTGCTGTTAGTTTGACACATGCAATTTACTTGGAAAAGCTTAAGTAGCCTTAATAACAGAAAGTCCCAGCAGAGCTGACACTAATGGTCTCCCCCGTTGTCAGTCTCAACAGAGAGATTAAGAACTGAATGAACAAAGAGACCCAATTACTATCTCCCCCCTCTGGATGTTGCTGCATGAAAGCAGGTATGAGCTATGGCAGTGGCTCTTTGCACAGACTCTGCCATGCCCTGGTGTCACAGGGGCTTTTACTGGGCTCTCAGTTTACTGCCATTACTGAGGGCTGCTGCAACATCACCCCGTCCAGCTTTTTTTGCACTAATAGTGAAGTCCAGCCGTGCTCTGTTAATGCACATTATTGAACACTCTTCAGACACTTACCATCCAATACATTGTGCTAAACCCAGCCCAGCTAAGTCTAACATTTTTTCTACTGAGTTTTGTGCAGGAAAGTCATGTTTTCTTGGCCCAAGCTCTCAGGGAGGTAGCAGAGCACAGCTCTTCAGGGTGTGCAGCCACAGACAGACATGTCCCCACTGGACTGGACTTGCAGAAAGGTCTCAAAGAAAACAGAACATCGGTTTCTGCTTTCATCCAGAGCTTGGAGCGGCTTGGTTAATAACAAAATATGAGCACCGTCTGTGAATGGCTGCACACTACCCTTTATGAGTGCTGCTCCTCAAATATATTATAAAGCACAGTGCCAGCTCTCTTTTGCCTCCCTTCACTAGGACAGGTTTGTACAATCGATCAAATATTCAGTTAAAAAAAATTGCTGCTGTGTGTGCTATAATTTTGTGGCTGTTTTTTGGCTAATGTGTGGAAGGCTTTAATTGCAACTCATTTCTCAGTAAGACTGGCTTTTTTTCAGGAATTTTTCTCTTCTGTTTCTCTAGCTTGGCAGACCAAAGATTTCTCACCATTAGGAAATAAAACAAGTGTGTTTCAAGAAGATTCTAGGTGGGCTTTACCAACACAGGGTTTGATCAATGATGATGATGGATTGATTTTGAAAAATATATACCCCACCTTATTCGGTCTCAATATTGAGGAAAAACATCATCTTTCAGTGAATAGCTGATATTTGAAGATACTGTTCTGTTGACAAACTGTTAAACCAAATCTGTCTCCCCTGGATTTAGAAGATTAAGACCTAAATAATACTTACAGCATCAGTATCAACATTGTCTAGCCTGTCAGTCTTTGCTTTATAGCTCATTGTATTTTCCAACATCACTTAAAATACTTTGCCAGGTACACCAGGTGAATGGTGGAGCTCAGCATAATTATATTTCAAAGGCAGTGAAATAGATGCTTTGCATTTTATTAATTGAATGTAAGTATATGAACATTTGACTGATGGATATGAACATATTTCATTGGTGGTTCTAGAGGGGAACAATTGCTCTTGTACAGTATAATAACTAATATTTATGCTGCTAAAATACACTTAATATGCATGAAAAATAATGGGTTTGGCTAAACCACGTTTGTACAGCTTTGTGTGTGTTTTTTTGTGTGCATACAGCATAAAAAGGAACACTGCACATCAAATGAATGCAATATTTAATCTGAAGTGAAATGCTTAACACTCATAGCAGCAATTCAAAGATGAGGATAGCTTTATTAGTGTTTTAGAGTCACGCTTTCTTAAACTTGAATTCTCGTCTTACTGTGATAATTAAAATTTTGTTGTTGATCTCCAGCAATTAAATTGGCTCCCTTATATATCACAGTTACAGTGTTGGTTTTTTAAGTGATTTGTGCATACATCAAAAATTGCAGGGAGGGGGAAAAAGTGTTAATAATCTTCATTAACAAAGACTTGCATGACTGATGAAAATAGAGGAGTATATAAATTTTCTATTCCCACCAAAACAAAATTTGAAATACCTCCTCCATAATGGACTGGAGTGCACTTTGGGAAATACCTGTGTATTTCTAAAATCATATGCACTAAGCAAATACAACAGTTTATAAAGAAGTAGTAATTTATTATTAATATTTACTCTGCAGCCCCAGTGAGGTTTTTGACAGCATGGGCTTGTCCCTGGGAGATTCCCTTATTTCTCCCTCCAGTACTCTCTCAGTGTAGGAACTCAGCAATTGTTTTGAAGAGAGTACAGGTGAAAGAAGCTTTTTCATTGCTTGTACTCTCTTCTCCTTTCTTAGAAGCCTTTCATTCTTCAGCAAAGGCAGAAGTTCTTTGCCTGCCCTCCTTTACTAACCCTTCCACTTGCCCTGATGATCATGATGATCATGTACAATCTCAGACCATTTCATTGCTTTTTCATCTCTTCTCTTAGTATCCACCCTCACATCTCATTCTGGTTTTGCAAGCAGCATCTGAACCTCTTTCGTCATGAAAAAAGACCAGACCATCACTAGTTACATTTGCGCTTCTAGACACCTTCTGCAATTCTCTTCTCCCCCTTATTGCTCAATGTGCTGTCAGTAGTTGGTGGTGGTACAGAGACTTTTCCAGTGCAGCTTTGTGCATTTCATTCTGGGCAGTGCCTTTCCTGACCTCTTCCTCCTCAGAGGTTACAATGTGCGCTTCCGCCTCAGCCTCACATCAGCTGTCATCTCTCTGCAGTCCCTGATGTTCTTGAAATCCTGCCCATGCTTTTGTTCTCTGATCTCATACAAGATGTTGGGTAGCATGCCTGGGCTCTTAAACTGCTCACAGCATTGCTGCTGGATCCCTCCTACTCTGTCTGCCACTCTGTCCAATTGCTGCTGCTTGATTTTCCTCATAAATAAAGAACAGGGATCTATTTAACCTTTTGGATCCTTTTCTTTGAACTGAGTTTCAGATTGTGAGTAGTCTTTAACAAGTAATGTGTAAATTAGCAGCATGTTACATTAATTTCATGCTGTAGATACTATTTGCCACATAGACTATTTGTATTGATGTGGAGTTACTTCTGTTAGCGCTTTTCAAAGAGTATAGATAAGAGATAAGATACCTAGGTGAAATCACACTAGCTGTGTTCCCAATGAACCTGCTGAGATGAATGGAATGACACAGCTAATCAAATTATCTTGAATTAGACTCAATTATGTTTGTGCATGAATGTTTCTGGTTTGTTTTTTTTTTGTTTTGTTTTTTAAGAACTTTCTATTTTTCCAGTTTGTACATGAAATTATAAGAGCACATAACCTACGGAACTTGTACCACCTCTGAAATATTTTAGGAACCTGCTTTCAGAGTACACTATTTATTCCTAAACAGAAGTAGCATATAAGTTCAATGTAGCATATAAGTTCATCCAAGCTGTAAGAAGGGATGAGCTCTGGAGATGTCTGTCCAAGTTCCATTTCTTGATTCTCACTTTAGGCTATGTCTTTTTGCACATCATCTTGAACGTGACTGTTGATAGTCTGCCTGTATTTTAAATACAGCTTATTTATTTGGTTCTTTATATTTCAATTGGTATTTCCAATTAAAATGAAACAGCAAGGTGTATTCACAAGACAGTGACATTGTCATTGACAATATAGTCAGCAAAACAGTACCAAAAGGTCAAGTCACAGACATAACTGCTTCTTAGTTTTCCAATGCCTTTATGTTTTTGTACTTAAACACATCTGCTGATCTGAATGTATTAGGAAAAAGTATAGCAAAAGCAGCTAAATTATATGGTAATTTTAATTAGTAGGAAAGAGGGATGGTAAGGTCTTCCAACAGCATTTTCTAATTAAAGTCACTGAACTGGCATTTCAGCAATGATTTCTGCTTCAGAGATCAAGAGAGATTATTTATCCTTAGCAGTTTTCAGCTCTCAAAAGTTCATGCAGGCCAAGTGACTTCCATCATTCATGAACACTCTTGTGAACTTGTCCCTTTCCTGATTTTATTGATTTGTCACGTGATTTCTGGGAAGAAATTAAAGTCTCTGTTATATTTTCCTCATCCTTACAAAGCAGTGAGAGCTGCACAATTTTATTTTCAGAGGTCAGTTAGTGGGAACCAAACTGGAGGGCTGTGGTTGGAACTTGTTTATAGTGGGAAGTGGGTGTATAAACGTCAGGAGGAAACGCCTGGGTTTGCCCAGGTGTATGTAGGCAGCTGAGTGCTGCAGAAAACATTGGTATTAAATGTCTGTGTTTCTCAGTCTGCTGTGATGCTCCATTTATGATGTGTTTCTCCTCACCCAGGAGCAGTGCACAGACTTGCTGTTGTTGTCAACACTGGAAAGACTGAAGCTGGCATCCCCATAGTCCTTCTCCAGAGGTTGCCTTGCAAGACACAGCTATAAAATGTTCATCAGAAAAAACTGAACTGTAGATCCTTAAGAGTGAGTAAAAACCAAATGCAGCATTTCAGAATTTTTGTCTAAAATGTACAAAAATAATGCCATGGATTTTGCATTTTAAAAATGCATTCCAGTTCCTGGGTAACTACGGATTGTGAAGAGCTTGGACTGAACCTGTGGCGTGGGATATGGTATTTGTTACACTGCTGTGTTCATTGGGGGGGTGTAGTTCCTTGCCTCCTTTGCTGTCCTTGTACACCTCTGTTGAGCTGCGTTTTTGAGAACCAGTGGCTTGAGGAGTGTCAAACATGCCATTGGAATGGGATTTTCCTGAGCAGGAGGCTAGCTTAGCTAGCTTGACTTCTTCAAGATAAAGTCACAGACTGTCCCCCTAGGAAGCCCATCCTCTGCACAACAAGGGGCTTTCCATGCACTAAAGTGTTCCATTGTTTCTGGAAAACAAGGCACTCTCAGTGCTGGAGGACTAGCTAATCTTGTGGGATCACTGACTGGCGCTTAGAAAATCAGACCCAAGAGTGTGATGCGATTTCTGAAGGCCTTGCTGAAGATAAGTCATTACTCAGATTTGCTGATACTTTCTGCACCGCTTCATTTTTGCATTTCCTTTCCAATCTGAGTGTTTTCCCACGGTAAGTTAGAGTGTTTGCTGCAGATGGTTACTCCAGCTCTTAGGTCCCACTGTCCTCAGCTTCCATGATGGACACCTCTGATTGAAGAGGTGAGTGAGTTATTTGAGAACTATTAACTGTCAGTGTCCAAGGAGAGTCTTTTCCCCTCATAAAGAATCCATCATTTTCATGCTATCACCAGTGCACCTTCTGGTCTCACCAGAGATTTTTCCATTGAGATAATCCCTGCACAGCTATCTACTGTCACCCTTGCAAGCCCACATGAAAGCACAATCAGCCATGCCATCAGCATGAAGACATCTTCAATAGCACAATACAGTAAAGCAACAAAAAATGTGATCTGGTGTGATGCATACAACCCATAGAATGTGTGCAAAGCACCTTATTTTTTTAGTTTTATTTGTAAAGTTATTTTCTTCCAGACTTGTTTTTCTCAAATATTTGACTTATTTAGGTGTTTTGTATTGTGGGATGCTGCTAATCAAAGTAATTGCTTTATTCCTGAGGGGACTGCAGCATGTTGTAAAATGGGATGTAACAATCCTTTAATACAATATAAAAGGGTTTCCAGGTAGATACATTCTCTGTTGCTGCCTGTAATGTTTGTGGGTTTTGGTTCTGCAAGTTATTACTGCTTCTGCCCTTCCTGCTTGTGTAACTACAGAGAAATGAGTGTTAAAACAGGACCATTGGGCTTGTCAATTGTGTTCTTATGGTGACTCCAGCTTATGAAAAATAGAAACAGCATTTAACCCTCAAATCACTAATTTGAGGACAGAAAGGACCTCTAAGCAGTGTGGGAAGGTGGAATAGGGAGGAAATGCAGGAACTTCAAAAGGAGAGGAAATCCACGGGGATTTAGCTCCACTAGATCCAAAATCAAGAGGAATAAACTATGCTAAGAGTTAAATGCCAAGCACTACACTGTAAGAATGGATCTTTGATTCCTACAAGGCAGAGAATTACTGTTTAAGCTGCAGAAATAAGTCTGAGAATTTGGAGTGTGCTGGGAAGTGAATTTGATCTGTCTGTTGCAGTTGCAAGGAAAGACAAAGCCCAGCTCCAGGGCTCTGAGATGCAGAACTTCATCTGTAGGGGAGATCAGAAGGAATTATTAACTGTGTGGTTATCATGACCTGAAGGGTTAACTGGCCTAGAGGAATAAGAAGATTTTGACTATGGAAGGTTTCAGAGATTCTGTAATACAGAAGTGGTCCCAGGAGAAGGCCAGTAAAGCAACAGGCAGAGTCTCACATCAATGGAGAGCCTTGTCACAAAGCTGGTAGTCAGCTAATGAGGGTCCCTAATGAGGGTCGAAGAGTTTGTCTAAAAGGTCTTGTGGAAAGTTTGTGTGGGGAGCTCAACCTGTGTAGGAAAACCACAAGCAGTGCAGGAAATAACCAGAGGACAAAGCTCCAGTTTGGGTAGGAAGTAAGTCCTTTCTATTGCACAGAGACATTAGAGGTGTACAGCACACCTCAGCAGCCAAGAGGTGCTGTTAATTTCTATTTTTCATCTGAAAGAACCAGTAGATGATGATGATAATTTCTCACATCTCAGACCACTGTTTCCTGTTCTTGCAGTTGGAGCAGCCAATGCCAGTTGTTGAACCTTATTTTCTCAGGATGTTTTCCCCTTTTTCCACCTTTCCCACTTCTTTCACCTTTTCAGACGGTAAGTTCCTTGGTTTTCTACTTCTTGATGGTATCTTAGGATGGCTGTGGTTTCTGGACACCCAGCTGCCCTTCAAAGATGCTGACTGCTCTTCTCAAGGATGCTCCTGGCTCCCAGGCTCACAGTCCAGCAGGCATCTCCTCTCTCAGCACACGTATTCTGCTCAGTATTTCTCTCCTTGCAACCAGGTTGCACTTTAGGGCTGCTCACATCAAGAGCCCTCTGAAAATATTCTGAGTAGCTTTGAGTACCAAGCCTCAAAAGAACTATGCCAGGGGATGAATGAGCAGAGATCTGGAGTAAGTTATCTAGAGGGGAGTGGCAAAAAACCACAAGTGTTTTATCTAGACAAAAAAGCAGTAAAGTAAATGAAATAAGGGATGAGGACAGGGATCCTCTAGAGTGATTTTTCCATACTTCATTATGTTTGTCAATACAGGAGATATATATTAGGTATCATTTTGATAAACCAGCTTATTTTGTGGGGAAGAGAGTATTTTAATACTGTGTCTGGGGTACAGTACTGGCAGTGTTGAAATCTCTGTTCATTGCCCCAGTTTCTGTGCCTTTACATGCCTTCACACGGTAATCCAGTCAATTTGCTGAGACTGCTGACAAATGCATCCTTTGACATGTGTTGGAATAATTTATGAACATCTTTGCCCTAGAGTTGGAGTAGATACTTTCTGTGGATGTCATGTAGGATCCTGCACAGCCAGGAACCACCAGTTTTGGTAGCTGACTTGACCTGGCTACCAAAGCCAGGAATTGAGCCCATGGTCTCAAGAGGAAAAGTTTTGTCACTTTCAGCTGCTGCTGTGTAATCCAAAACACTGGGCACCACAGGAGGTGTGCAGCATGGAGGCTTTGTGCACTGCATCAGTCTTTGCTGTCTTTGCCCTAAACTCATGGATAGGATAGGATAGGATAGGGTAGGATAAAGTCCCTGAACTTACACTTTTCTGTCTTTATTAGGATCTCCTCAGAGATGATTTAATGTTGTTCCCCAGTTCTTTCAGGCCTCTTGCAAAGTCTGCTGAGGTCAGAGAGAGTGCTTTGGCAGACTCAGCAGGTTTGGGATCTCTCCTAAAGTGATTCCCTGTGTGAATCAAATGCAGCTAATTTGGCTCATCAATAGTGTTTTATTCTTGTGAGTTAGAGCCAGTTTCTCAATAGCAGCACTGGGAGATCAGTGCATGGGTTTAGGAAGTGAGAATTACTGGCCTAGCCGTGCTGACTGGTGGTGTGATTCTACGCAAAATATGTGACCTCCATGCCTGTTTCTCTGCTGTGTTCAGTTTCTCTCACTTGCTCATTTTCCAGGGTGTGCCAAATCCCTGGGTATTTGTGCTTCCTCTTGCTGTTGCAGTACCCTGTGGTGGGAGGCAAATGGAAAAATTGTGATCTCTTGATGATAATGGTGTGCGCCATAACCGGGGCACACACCTCTCTGGGGGTTGCAGTGAACATACTCAGCACTTCCATCCATGCTTGAATACACCTTTCTCCCACCCTGGCCTCTCCATCCTTAAGATTTCATCCACTGACTTTCAGCTTGAGCCTTGTTAAGCTTTTAATTGATGCACTGCCTGCCAGACTTTTGCTCTCATGCCAGAAACCCAGCAAAACTGAGAAATATTGTGCCAATATCCAAACATCTCATGTACTCACGTTGTCTCCATGATTCAGTGCTGAGCTGGGTGGCACTGGGTTCACCTACCTCACCCCACCTCCCAGTGCTCTCCCAAGATATCAGCTGTGAGGGTACAGGAGGAGCTGCGTCATCGCTCCATGCTCCTAAGTCATGTTTTTCTTGAAGAGGAAGAACATCTCCAGTGCTCTTTTGCCAGCTGAAAAATATTTTGAGGCTGGTAAATGTGTTCTTTTCTTTGCTGTGTCAGCCAGAGCATTTCCTGATCACTGCCTGGCTGCACATCTTTAATAGTGTGTATGAAAGATAGGATCTAGCTCAAATAGGAGTTTGTGCCTTGGTGCTGGTTGGCATTAGATTATTTTAGTGGTGTTTTCTGGCCTTGAAAAAAAAAAAACTGTAAGTATAGGAATTAGTTTTTTCTTGAAGTTTTCTGGAGTGTCTTTTGCAGTATTATATGCTGTTATATGCTGTCTGGGAGGGTGTGGGGCTGCTTGTGCCAGCAGGGAAGAGGGTTCAGGTCATGCATGGGCAGGAGGAGACTTCTGCACCAACACTCTGACATGGCAGCAGCAGAGTCCCCAAACTGAATGACAGATACTGTCCATGCTAAAGACAATCTGAACCCTTGCAGCAGAGGACATGCTTTGGTATCAGAAAAGGAAAAAACAGCAGAGAAGGAGAGGGAGTTGGTTGTGGAAAGGGTTATGGTACATTCTGCTCACAATAAGGTCCTGCACAGAAGGTGACAGTGAGGGACAGTTCTCCCATCCAGAAGCCCCACTGTGTGTGACAGTAACATAAAACCCCACTCTCCCATGAGCGCAGCCGTGTGTCTGCTTCGTTCCCAAGGTTAGGCTCTGGCACTTCTGTTAAACAGCACTCAGCTGGAAAGATCTCCTAACTGGTTTTATGCAAATGGGAGCAGATATGTCATGCATGTGTGTTTGCACACTGGCACTGTCACCTATCAAACAACAGATATTGTTTTGTCATGTAAATAGTGCCCAACTGACTGGGCTTTCTGGGAGTTGAGCTTGCTTGTACTGAGTGGTTTTGACGTGTGT